AACACCTGTTGAACCCAGAAATCTCCCTTCTCTAGCTTTGATTGCCTTGGGTTTATGTTAATTGCTCTTATTCCTTGAATTTTGGGTTAAAGCCGTGAGCTTTCTTCTTCCATGCCGCCAGCAACTTCCCCAACCTGCAGTCCGGTTTCTTTGCTTGCAAATTCTGGTATGTGGTAGCTCTTTAAGCCTAAGTTTAGCCATTTATGTGCTGCCTCTGTTGTCTGTGAATTGCTGGAAAAATGGGGGATAATTCCGGTAGCTTTAGGATGAAGTTTAAGCATTGATTCAAGTGGGATTTATGTGTTTTGAGTGTTAATTGACTGCTGTGTGATTTTTGGAGAAAATCTCATGAATTTAGCTAGTGTTTTGGCTAATTTTTGGAAGTGGCAGTACTGTTCACGGCGTGAGTACTGTTCACGGGTACTGTTCATAGGCACTGTTCACACACCGAGGGTTAATGATTAACGGGGATTTAAAGGTTTAGTTTGTGATATAGGAATGAATTTGGAGATGTCCGGTTATATGGAGATTGATAGAAATAGCATTTTGAATTTGTGATAGTCCGGTATTAATTCTGAGGTGTTTTGATTAGGTTCCTGATTGTTCTGTCAGTTAGCACTGAGATTGAGTGCTCGGCTTGATGCGAATGAGGTAAGTAAATTATGGTAAAGCCCCTCGATTTCAAAGCATGTTTTAATTGTTTTTGAGATGGTGGCAAGGTTTTATTTGATTTTAAATTGATTTTACCAGCACTTGAGTGTGATTAAACTGAAATGGAAGTTTTGATGATTTTAAATGAGAATTTCATGGCTTTTCTGGAAATGAGCATGATTGATTTGAAATAAGATTATTAGTCTTTTGTATTGATTGGAGCATGCCTACTTGAAATTTAAGTAATTGTTTTGATGATTTGAAAGCGATTGGTGAATTAAGATTTTTCTGTAAATTTCTGCTTGTCTTGTCTCCGATGTGGTTATGTTATTAATGATCCTGCTTTGATGATTTGAGATTGATTGTGAATTTCGAAAATTTCTGTAATCCTACATGGTTTTGTCTCGATATAGTCATGATTTCCGATCCCCGCTAGTGGGTGTGTAGCATCCCTAATCCCCGCTAGTGGGTGTAACGCTAGCACTCCTGATCCCCGCTAGTGGGTGTAACGCTAGCATTCCTGATCCCCGCTAGTGGGTGTAACGCTAGCATTCCTGATCCCCGCTAGTGGGTGTAACGCTAGCATTCCTGATCCCCGCTAGTGGGTGTGTAGCATCCCTGATCCCCACTAGTGGGTGTAACACTAGCACATGTCGACATGTTTACTGATATGACTGGTTTATCCTGTCGCCTGCCAGTGGGTTGTTATAACACTGGCCATGACTTATAGATGAGACTACTGAACTGAGATTTATTCTGCATGAACGGTTTGTCATGAAACACTGTTATTGAACTGAACTGGACTTTGCATTAACGGTTTGTCAGGAAACGTTTTGTTATTGAACTGGATCTGATTTTGCATTGACGGTTTTGTCATTGAACGTTTTGCTATTGAACCGAATTTGATTTCCGCATTAACGGTTTATCAGTGAAAGTTCTGTTATACTTACATGGTTTATCTGGCATGTTAAAAGTTTTACCCAAGGGCTATCCATATTTACTTACTGAGTTTTCTCATAGTTTTCCTTGTCCACCATTTCAGGAAGCGAAACTGAGGACGGGGAAACCGAGGGGAGTGACGAGGTAGAAGGCTAGTCACCTGGAATTTGATATAGATTTTAGATACAGATTATGATTCTGTAAGCTAGAGTGTATTTGGAGATTTTATGATATCAGAGCAGATTGTAAAAAAATTTTATCTTGAGATTTGGTGGTATCAGATTGTGAATTGGATAAGTTCCGAGCCTTGTGCATTTGTGGGACCCTCTCACGAGTGCACGGCGTCTGTCGTGTCTCCGGATTTGGGTTCTGGGGCGTGACATAGTGAGTGAGATGAGTTGTTGAAACCATCTGGATATGATTAAGAGCATGACAAATAATGTAAAAATTTGATAATCCATGTCAATCCTCCTATTGAAGTAGATGTGGTATAAAAGAACCATAGTTGATAGGATTTAGCTCTAGCCAAGTAATTTGTTAATATTGATGTGATTTTGATAGAGTCAAGATTGAACCAAATCTAGCCGTGTGAAATAGATAACAGCGATGTAGATAATCACAATATGACTCGATTGATATTGATGAACAAGGTTAGAGTAAAACCCTAGCCAAGAGATTTGATGTTATCAATGAAGCTTTAACAAAGATAAAATTGAGCATGGCTAGAGCAAAACTTTAGGTAAGAAGTTTGATGTCATTGACGATGAGGCTCTAACACAGATAAAACAAGGCCAAATTTGGCCAAGATGATAAATAGCATAAATGAGGCTAAAAAAAAATTCATGAAGTTGAAATTAATCCATGCATGAAAAGTTATTTCCATGCTTAACTGAGCCTCTTTTTGTAAATTCAATTGCAACATTTTGAAAAGTGATAAGTATAGTTTAGAAATACTCGGATGATGACTCTGACTGATGTAGATATAAGGTTGGTGAGCAGACCAGAGTTCCAGTATAGGCTGCATTGTTATTTCTTGGAAAAATACTAAATCCAAAGTAGTTACTATAGAAAGATTTTTCTACACACTGTTCACATGTAGTTTAAATCCAAAGAGGAATTAAAATTGCCTCTGAAATAGTTTTCAACAGTTAAAAAGATAACTTTCTCCCTTTTTAAAGATAAAGAACTAAATCTCCAAAAATTTTATCATAATTATCGCATAAAAAGGGGAGATTTTAAAGGAAATCAAGTGCAAGCAAGTAGGGAAATACCATACACCTTACTTGTCCCTTGGATGATATCCAGCCATACTGATGAGTGACATGTGGCAAAGGTAGTTTGTTGATACATTTAAAGCCCTTTTGTTTAATCCTCCTTTCCCATCTTTTGCAACCGTTTGACAAAACTTTTCAAGTTCTTTCTCCTTTGAAGAACTACCAGACTTCTTTTCCTTGGGTCTCCTATTTTTCATCAATATTTCACAAAAATTTGTGGATGTTGTGGCATTGTGTTAGGATTCAACTTCAAAAAGCAAACCCGAGCATTGATTTAGCTAAATACTTATTCAAACTGAGGTAAACATCAAACTTTTTATCCTTGGCATGCTGTGGGTTTCTTCATCTTCTCTAACCTATATTTTTGTTTTTCTCCTTTTCTCTTTTCCTCCCCTTTTTCACATGAAAAAGTTCAAGAATGGCCGACCCTCTTTTGACCAATGAGGTATACCCATACCATGATCCATGGTACACTTTCAAGATGGGTTTCTAGAGTTCAATGCTTGGTCTGTCAAAAGGCACTTGAAAAGTATAAGATTTAGTTTTAGTCAAACTTTTTAACAGTGGTGAGGTCGACACAGCATGGTTCCCTTTGTTGAAAGTTTTGATGAGGGCAAGGTTGGCAAGGCGTGACTTGTTGCTGATGTTGATTCATTTCACCTTCGCATCGAGCAAGATAGAAGATTGGATAGGTTGGGCCGAAAATATGTTGGTTGGTGACAACTTTGTGGAGGTATTTTACATTGTTGAAATTATTAAATCTATAGCCTTGAGTCAAATGTTACAAGTTAATGGCAATGTTGAGTGTCTTCACCACATAATGAGAAAATGGTGCACTAATACACACATTTTCATTCTTACATTCGGAAAGGTTTTGGTAATGCTAGAAGATGTAGTGAACCTAATGTTGTTACCATTGTCAGAGATGAAGATCCACATTGCATATTATTGACACAAAAAGAGAATGCTATCAAAGTGGCATTGAAGAAGGTAATGAAGAAAAATGCAAGTACTTCTCGGTCATAGAGGGGTGAGTATAGCATCAATTTCTTGACTTGGATGCAATATTTTCAAATAGGCAAAGGTAAGGACAGTTCATATATGTGGGAAGCCTTTCTCACAACTTGGCTAAGTTCATTTATTTTTGGAGGTTTCCCAGACCACGAGATCATGGTTGAGTGTATACTACTGGCCATATGCTTGGCTGAAGGTGTGAGACTTATATTGGATCCACTAATGCTAGGTACACTTTACCACATGCTTGACTTCATTTTGATGAAATTCTTGGTGCTAGGTATTATATCATTGAGATGTATATTTGCTTGTCTTTGTTGCAAATGTTTGTGTGGAAGAGGTTTTGTTCATATCACCTTGGTTGGGTTACTAGTGGCAAAGCTTTGAAGGAGTACTCCATGACAGTGTGGCTATGCTAGTAGGATCATTCTATTGGTTTGCTCATGGATAAGATAGAGGAAGGTGGCAAATACCTCCCGAAGTTGATAGTTTTCTTGATGTTCACATTAGCTTCAACTTTCATGCATGCAAAACAATGCCAAGGACATTTACACTGCTCGAGGTGAGCTTCTTTGATGGGAGACGTGAAATAGTACCTAGAAATTAGATTGTAGACTTCACTACAGAGAATTCAAGCCATTTGGACATACTGGCCGTGACTGCATAATCCATGCTGCCATGCATTATGTGGCAAGGGTTGTGGGTCCTTGAAAGTTAATGCTCAGAAAGAGTTGCACGATAGTTTGACTAGGATCAAGACATACCCCCTTTCCTTTTTTTTGAATGGCTCAGATTGGGATGTGGCCATGCAACCTTACATTGCTAATGTTGCCATAGCCATGTGGAGTGAAAATGTAGGCACACTTAGCTTTTTTAGTTATTCTCAAATGTTAACCATGTCGTCTTTGATGTTGGAATATTGGGAAATACTACTAGAAAAATTCAATGCCTTTTTCTAGTCATTATGAGAAGTTATTGCATATGATGTTACTTCTTGAGATTGTGACTATCTTTTTGTGCATAATAATTTTTTCTTAAGTTGCTACAACAAGCATTCTTGTGGTTTCTTGACCAAAGAAGGTAATGAAGAGTGGGTGCCAGTACGTCTTCCTATACTTGGCATTGCGAAGGAAGAGCATGGCCAAAGTAAAAGTGCTAGTTAAGAACATGGACAAGGAGTGGCTAACGATGCTAAGGCTGGGGGTAAATAATCTTCTTTACTTTTGCCTTAGCCTTAAACTTTGGTTTTTCTTCCATAGTTAGGCATTTTCATGTGATGCTGGAGGAGAAATCAGCCAAATTGTCTCTTCAAAGAAACTAGCCTTAGGCAAAAGAAAAAGTGTGGTGCAGCCACCTAAGAGCAGAGCATGCAAAGCTACTGCTTCACTAGAAAGTAAGTAACGTAAGGCCAAAGTACCCATGCCTTCTAAAGTGAAAGTTACCCAGGAAAAAAAGAAGAGTAAGGACATTGATAGTGAGCATAGTTCTTATGGCAATTTGGACATAGAGGTAATTGAATGGATTAAGAGATTGAGGCTCACTCATGGTGGGAAGTGTTTAGGCACTCAATATTACAACTTGAGTGTTTGCTTTAGGTATGCATATTGTTGAACTCTTCTTTATGTGGTTAATGTGAACTCTTGATCATTGTTACCTTATAAAGAATTCTCCCATATACAAGTTAATGTTCGTATGGGCAATTAGCAACTTCTAGCAAAGGTCTTGGCCTTATCCTTGTTCTTGGCGATAATAAAGCTCTAAGTTTGAGGAGGCTAAGGAAGTAGAGGCCTTAGTGATGAATATAGAGTAAGCTTTAGTGAAGCTTGAAGTTCACTAGAAGATCTTGGCTGGCGAAGCAAGTGAGCCTTCACTTCCTGATGACATATTTAGTTTTGTTGACAATATCATTAACTGGGATGACCTCACGTTTTTCACAGTTGACTTGACAAAGAAGAGGATTAAGGCCAGTGTATCTTCGCCTCGAAAATCCACCACGATAAGTCATATACACTTACAAATAGCCTTTGTAATTAAGAATTATAGCTTGAAAAATGTTGAAACAGATATATATGCTTTTTTTCCAAATTGATGAGTCTTTCTTGTTCCATATAGGTTGAGGAAGGTGTGAAGATTTCATACAGTACCCTTATTGTGGCAAAGAAATTCAAAACAATAAATGCTCAGGAAAGAAAATAACGCTAAAGGTATAAGTTTCTCCACTTTCATGAGAGCCAAATGACACCTTTGCTACTATCAAAGTTGCATCTCTTATTTGACTATTGTTTTTGTACATCCATGTTCAATTAGTGAATTGCCTGCATTTAGAGTTGGCGATGTTGAACTAGTCTTGAGGAATCCCCCAACTAAAGAGAGTGTTGACATTGCTATTGCTAAGAAAGGTACCATGGATAGCAAGTAATGTAATTCATGTTTTAGTACTTTATCCTACTTAATGACAAAATCCCTTGTTGGCTAATTGCCTTTCGCTTGCTTCACCAGACGGTCAAAAGGTAAAGTCAAGGCTATAGCCGTTGTTAGCAAAGGAAAAGGTAGAGATGCTATTGAAAAGACTAGCTTTGAGTCTAGCATAAGTAGCAAGGATGAATCCACTGATAGTGATAAATCATTTGAAAGTGAGAATGGATTTGAGCAAAAAGGTGAAGATGAAGGCTTTTATGGCAACATAGACGTAAATAGAACTGCACCTGAGGAGCTTGAGTTGGATGTGGGCAATGCTTTGAAGAAGCTTGTTCTCAGCAAAAACAAGATGGACATCGATAAGTCAACCATAAGTGCGGTAAAGCTGGTTACTAGTCTTAGTGAAGTTGTGCATAGTGGTAAGCCATCCTTGGTTCCAGCCAAGTTAAGCAAGATTGACAACTCCGCTATAAAATTACTTAAGGACCTCAATGAGATGAATGAAGATAGAGATGTATCGCTGGCTCAATTTGGCTTGGTGCCTACTAGTGATGCTCAATTGGTAGGTAAATTTGAAGTGCACTTGATGTTGGAGACATTGATATGCCATCTCTTAAAAACCGTCCCAGAACTAATTGTGTGCAACAAGGTTAAGAAAATGATGATTGAAGATGCCTTCGCAAACCTTTGTGCTACTATGCGACAGATGGAGGTAACCCTTTTTGCCGAGATAAATGTGGACTCACCGTTGATGATGCTGAGAGTATAAACTTCAAAGTTGGCATAATTTGAGGACACTTGTCAGATCTAGTGAAGGCATACCTTGGCAAGGGCGAGTTCAACATGGTTGGAGGTGATATGGCAGGCAATTTGGATAGGCGAATTCAAGAGCAGATGAAGCATGTCAAAAATGAAGAAATTCTTAGCTGAGTTGAAAGAGCTCATCCTTAAATCAGAAAATGGGTTGAAATCAACTAAGGCATACCTAGAATCACTTAGCCAAGAGAGAGAAAGAGCTTGAGTTCTAGTGAAATTGCTTAGCTTTGCCAAACTTGTGTTGAAATTGCCAAGATTTATAGTGAAAAGCCTAGTCTTTTCCATCCATGAGTTGCCATATACTAGCCCTTTCTCTATCATGAACAACTTTTATTTTGCTTCATTTGTAGTGTGATAATTATTGGTGATATCACCATGATGCTTTCATTCTGTTTGTTTGGGGTTGAACATCTTCATGTCCAGCGAAGTCCGGACCTCTTTACTTTAATGCTTGCTTTCTTCGTGACTTGTGATTTTCTTGTGTACCAGGTATGACACTTGAACAAATATAATGATACTATTTACATATGATAAGTATGGATTAGGGAGGTTGTCTTATAATTATTTTGCGTGGTCCACATTTTTTTTATACATGTACTTTTATGTACTACACTTTTCTTCTTCTCTCTTTTTATTTTTTTATATCAACATTCCTTATCGTTACCTAATGATAAAGCAAAATGAATGGAATACAAGTTGATATATAATGTGCCAAATATAACAAGAGAGTGTTGTACACACTTTACATATAATTGCAAAAGATAGATGAAAGTAATCCTCTTGGCTAGATTAAATCACAATACCAGGGGTAAAATTACAAACTAAAGAGTAAGTACTTATCAAGGACCGTTGTCGACGAAGCTTAGCAATACTATGGCTTAAGCCACTTATCATTCATGGGATCCAATAATGACTCTTCCTCGTGAGTTTTGAGATGATAATGCTCACTGTCATGTGTTTTTGTAGCAATGAAATGACTATCTCCATTTGCAGCAAAATTGGATGGGCCAACAATGTTTTTCCTTCATGTGGTAAGAGGCTTTAAGAACCATTTGTCCAACCATGAAACTCATGCTTTTACTGCATGAGTGTAGGCATTTCTCATCTTAGTTTGATAATTTTGAGCCTTTTCTTATGTTATCTCATGAAGTACTTCAATGGATTCTAAGTCTTCAACCCACCTTTGGCCACACATGTTAGCATCATTGTTTAATTCGGATGCAACTAAGATATGTGCAGTTGGAATTGAGACTTCGTTACCAAGAATAGCATCACAATCATATATAAGAAAATATGGCAAAAAACCCATGGCAGTCCTTAAAGATGTTCGATAAGCCTAAAGAGTGTATTGAAAATGAATACTCCAACCTCCTTTATACTAATGGACCATCTTGCTCAAAATCCCTAGTAAACTTTTATTAGTTGCTTTAGCTTGGCCATTGCGTTGTGGATAATAGGGAGTGGATTTTCGATGCTTGATCTTGTAAGTGTCTAGTAATCTTCACACATGTTGATTGACAAAAGGAGTTCCATTATCACTCACAATTTTGTTTGGGATTTTGAAGCGGCAAATAATATGCTCCTTAATAAAATTTAACATCACTAGACCCATCGCCTTACAAAGAGGAACAACCTCCACCCACTTAGTAAAATATTAAGTGGCCACCAATATCTAGATATAACCTTTATATATAGGATGGATAGAGCCAATAAGATCCAAACCCCAAGTCTGAAAATGCCAAGGAGTTTTTATGTCTTGCAATAGATTAGGATGAGAATGAATAAGGTTAGCATGAACTTGGTAAGTGTGATATTGCTAGACAAAATCTATGTCGTCTTATTTCATACTTGGTCAATAGTAGCCATGAGTCAAGAGTTGCTCATATAGTTTTCTCCTTCCTTGATGCTTACCACATTCCCCTGCATGTATCTTAGCCATAACCTTCTCAGACTTTGTCAAAGATAGGTAGTAAAGTGATTTGCCAACAAAGCTAGCGCAAAACAAAACTCCATCATCCATGAAAAATTTTGACAAAGAACTTTTTGAGTTGTGCACATTCTTTGGAGACTCTGGCTAGATTCCCTCAGCAAAATACTCAATAAAAGGATAGCACCAATCTTGAGCATTGTCAACAGTGAAGCATTCTTCATTTTGATAATAATCCTCTTGATAGGATATACATTGCTGTTGAAATTCAGTGGCTTGACATGCCATGTCTAGCCAATAATACCCTACTTGTTGAATCTAGTGGTATAGGTTTACATAGCTATCCTAACCACATGTGCAATCATGGATTTCTCTAAGTCTATGGTAGCTTATTTATTGCTCATGCACCTAGCCATAACACCACTGGATAGAAGGTAATACAGCTTACAAGAAATGATAACATAGTTGGATAAATCTTTAAAGACACATCAAGTATTTGCTACAACAAAACATTGTGAATCTCATACCACTAATCAGCACAGTCAAGCAACTCAGGTAGAACAGATTTGTAGTAATGATAAATTGGGCACTCATTTTAGATAACTTGAACACTTAGAGAATTTTTGATTAAGGGTAACCTTGAAGTAATTGTGGCTAAGGCATTAGCCAACTTTTTCTTTGACCATGATACTTTCTCATATCTAAGGTTGATGAAAGACTACTCCAAATTTTGGCTAAGAGAGCAATATAATGTAGGGGGTTTTTCATGAACAGTGAAAGTGCCTTTGATCTGGTTAAGAATCAGACTTGAATTGCTAATGATGTTCAAGTGTTGTACACCTGCCTCTCTAGTCGTGATGAGACCAACAAGATATACTTCATACTTAACCATGTTGTTTGTGCATGAAAAATCAAGTTTCAATAAAAATAATGCATAATAGCCTTTATCATCTCTGAGAACAACACCAACCCTAGCCCATTAAGCTGTGGAATACCCATCAAAATACAATGTCCATTCTTCTTCAATTTGTTGTGCAAGAGCAACCTCACTGTTAGGAACTTCGCTAGAAATAGGATGTTGGGCACTGTGAGAAAATTCAAATAGCAAGATTGCAATAGCTTGTCCCTTGATAGCGATAGGATGTATGCATGTAATATCATAGTGAGATAATTGAAGAAGTTAATTAGCAAGACAGCTAGTGATCATAGGCCAGGTTAGGGGGTACCGAATGGATTGAGACTTGGTAATGAGTTACGCTTTGTGAACCAAGAAATAGTGCTGAAGACATTGAGAGATATAAACAATGCAAGACGAATTTTCTCAATAAAAGGATATCTTGATTCAACACCTTTGAGATTTTGGCTAACATAATAAATAGATTATTCTTTGCCTTCTTGATCATCTTGGGCAACTATAACACTTATAGCATTGTCAAAAGTAGACAAATAAACTTTGAGTGGCTTGCCTTGGATAGGGACAGATATGGTTGGCAATTTGAGTATAAGATCTTGTAAATGTAAGAAGGCATGTTGATGCTCCTTCGCCCATCTAAAGGTCATCCCTTTCTTCAGCAAAGGGTTCAACACGGATAAAACTTCTACCAATGAAAGGATGAATTTGTGGATGTATAAAACTTTGCTGATGAAGCTCTACAATTGTTTGAGATTTGTAAGAGGCTACATTGCTTGAATAGCCATAAACTTGGCTAAATCCACATTAATGCCATATTTATTCACAAGAAAGCCCAGAAACTTTTTAGTGGAAAAGCCTAATATGCACTTCACTTGGTTCATTTTCAGCTTGTATAGCTGGCATTTATCAAAGACCTTTCTTAACACATCAAAGTGGCTCAGCCTTGTTTTAGACTTCACTAAATATCATCAATATAAATTTCAATATGAAATCATGAAAAATAGCCACCATGACTTTTGATAAGTAGCTTTAGCATTTTTGAGTCTAAAAGGCATAACAAATAATAAAAGTTATGGACAAGAGTACGAAAGGCAATTTTCTCTACATCATTAGGGCATATGTTGACTTGATTATATCCATTGCCGCTATGTATAAGAGAGTACGTTTCATAGCAAGCGGTGTTGTCCATAAGCACATCCATGTTCAGAATAGAGAATTCATCTTTCCAACATGCTTTATTGAGGTTGCGAAAATTAATGCAATACTTGATATGTCTACTTTTCTTTCAAACTGGTATAATGTTGGCCAGGCAAGTGAGCTTCTTGGTCGGCTTGATAAATCCTACAGCCGAGAGCTTTTTAACTTCTCCTTTAATTTTGATAGTGACCTCAAGATGGAAGGCACGACTTGGCTACACTATAGGTTTTGCTTTGGGATCAACATTTAAAGAGTGTGCAACCATGATTGGATCAAGTTTTGACATTTTATCATAATTCCAAGTAAAAATATCTTTATATTCTTGAAGCAAGTTGATCATCTTAACTCTTTTGTCAGTGGAGAGAGTAGTGCTGATATGTACGCATTTGGGGTTTGATGGATCATCCCCAAGATCAATATCTTCAAGAGACGCTAGAGAAGTGTAGGTTAAGCCTCATAGAGAGTTGGCAGCATATCTAGTGAAGTCAGATAATTAGCTTCACCAGAAGGCTTTGAGTGTTCAAAAAATATTTTATTTTTAGCTTCAAGAGTAAAACACTTTGCTTTGTTGGGAAGAGCCAACTTGTCAATCAGAATGTTTTTCTTTGAATCAATGAATGAGCAATCAAGAAGCATAGCTAAACTACTGGTGATAAAGCCATCCCATGCATAGCTGGGAGGCCCCATGCATCTTCATAAAGGATATTTGATCCTCCCATCGAGAAAGACAGTTCAAGTGCATTTTGGGCATGCTTAGATAGCCTTTGCTACGTCTCTCTTTTGCCCTTTATGCTCAAGAACACTTCGCAAATTACTATTAGGATGACTTTCTAATGCTTTATCACAATGGTAATGAATTTGTTCTATAAACTAAGAATAGTATTTAGCTACACATTATGGTTATACAAAGTTATATAAAAGTTGATGACTTTGACAAACCTTTCCATTATTGGTGCACTTGTGTAATTCAATTATTTCATCATCAAAATCTTAATCAAACAAGATGCATACTATGTATCATCATCCTTGGAGTTTAATGTATTTTCTTCAACTTCCAAGACTAATTATTTTATTAAAGGCTTAGAGATCTCATTCCTATTGCAGACTTAAAGAGTCTTATACCAATTTAAAGGCCTAGAGATGTCTTTTCTCATTAACTCTAGATGGAGGAATCCTATCTTGACTTGAGTTATCTTCTCTCATTAACTTGATATAGATGAATCATATCTTATAAAGTCGTTATATGAAAGTTTAGTTAATTGATGAAGATTTAATTAAATTAACTAAGTTAGGAGAAAAAATAGCATATAGTTGGATGGTGTTGGGGTGTGCTGATGATGTAACCTGATGAGTCAACAACAATGGTGATGTGGAGGCTGACTAGGATGACACCCACAAAGATGAGGAGTTCTTTCGGTGGCACCTGTCTCACGTGCGTAAGGCTACATGCTACCGGCCATTTCGTTCTACCCGACGGTGATGTCCTATAGCAAGTTTTCCATTGAAGTTGAAGAATGTTCCAAATTCCCAGCCAAGCTGATAAGGTTGATAAGCAATGGCGAGGACCCAAAGATACAGATTGATTATACAACTATCAAAATCTACGACAAGAATATATGTATATTGCTGAAAGGGTGATGGAGATGGTAAATATATTTAAGGGTTACTCAGAGATCGTCTTCACACCAAAAACACTGTAGCATAGTAGTAATGACACCAAATGCGACCTCTATCATCTCTAGTGAACATTTTCAGCCTATAATGGACAGCTCTCATGTTGGGCATGAAGAATATAATAGTTCTCCTTCCGAAATTCCTTCAAAAACAAAGAAAGGGACAAACTTAAGAGTAATGATGGGAGAAGGAAGGATGTCTGCTTGGGGATGCTTATAGGTGGAACACTCAATCCTGTTCTTTGATGCTAACCATGCGGCTTGATCTCCCAAAGCTCAAGAAGGACTACCCGGAAGCCAAAACTGTAGCGTGCTTCTTCCCAGCCATGTTGTTTTGCAAGCCTAGAAATGTTTTGCGATGTTAGGAATATAGGAAATCGGGAAGAAATGGTGATTTTTGAATGGGTTTTCACAATGTAGGATGGTAGGATGGTTGATTAAAGATGAAGGGATTTTACCAAGAAAATGGAGGTCTGATGCATGTGGTAGCAAGTTGGAAAAAGCTCGTCTATTCCCTATATCTCCTCTTTTTTTTTTAAGAATAAAGGAAATGTGATATATATATATATATATGGTTAGTGGCATTTTTATAATTTCAACTAATAGGTCAAAGATGTGCAAATGGGTCCAGGTGAGCTGTCAAGCTTTGAATGGTTTTGGGCACTATTGACGGCTTCTTTGACAATAGCATCATGAGTTGCCTATCAATTCCAACGATGGACTGGAAACTGATTTGGTAAGTTCTTGAAATAGCATCATGAGTTGCCTATTCTTGGAAATTCTCCCAGTTATACGAAACTCCATTTTTGGAGAGGTGCTTGAGTGCAACTAGTAGGAACACCACCTGCATCATGATTTGGTAAGTTCCCTAAGCTCTGTGCGAGATTTTGGGAGATTCTGCAAGCAAACAGTGATTTTTGTAGCAGTTTCCAAGGCTATGAAACTTGTGCAACCACTCTTGCATTAAATATGGCTGCAAGTTGCTGATGGTGATCCAAATGGCATCTCCAGTTAGTCTTCAATGGCATTTCCAACCTCTGGTTAGCATCAAAGGAAACTATTCCGGGAATTAGGTTTGCTTCCACGATGTCGCTACCCAGCACTTTCTGGGGAAGTCGGGCAACATCATCAACGCTAAGCTTTGCTGGCACGAATGCTTTGCTTCGCTAGATGGGCAGCATTCATCCATCCATGCCTGCCAAGCCACTACTCCCATAGTTTATGCCGAGTAATTCCCATGAGCTTGGGTTCCTGAGCTTGCGTTTACTTGTGATAATAACAAAGAACATATGAGTACATGTTTGAGTATCTTGAATATAAGGAACATGTGAATATATGCAACGAAGAAGGAAATTCCCTTGTGCGTTGAAGGAGGCTATGTGGACAAATGTTTGCTGCTCCCTTCATTTGCTAGCCGTGGCAAGCACCAATATGTCGTCGTTGTGTATGGCTGGCATTACGCCAAAACAAAGAATAGATGATATAGATACATGCATTGCGATATTGTTGTCTCGAGCCAAACTTTGCTAGCTGGCAATTGTTGACGTGCCAAAATGGATGGAGTCGCCATCTATCCAAATGAGGTGGGATAGATCACCAAGGTCTTCGTAGAAATTGACTAGGTTCGGAGGGTCGGTTAAGTATGGGGAAGGTGTTAGGCACCCCACAAACTTCCATATAAATATGGTTACCACATACTTTAATTTTGGGGTATTTTTCAATTTTATAAACTAAAAATTACCAAAGCAAGTAAATAAATAAATAAAATAAAGAAATAATAATAATAAAAAATCAGTTCCAAAAGCACAAAGAAACCGTCATCATTTCTTTTTCTTTTCCTTTTTTTTTTCATTTTTTCTCGGTTGCCTTTTTTTTCTTTTCCTTTTTCTGCACTGTTTCCGCCCCTACCCTCTTTTCGTCTCTGCTTGCTTTTCTTTCTTTTTTTTTTTTAAAACAGCCATTAAGAAAGTTCCTTTTTGTTCTTTCTTTTTATTTTTTTATTTTTTTTTTTACCTGATGCATCTCTAAAGTAATGATAATATCTCCGAAAAATAAATCCTTTATGGGTAAACAAAAACAAACAAACTGACTTCTCCCAACAAGATTCTGCCTTGCTGCTAGAATTCCCAACAATTAATATTCCATGATATTTTTTTTTATTCAAGATTAATTTCAAGCAAAACATGTAAATAAACAATTTTAAAGGGAAATCAAGCAACTACCAATCACCAAAGAGAGGAAGAAAGAACAGAGTATAACAAAAAGGAATCGCAGAAGAACAAATTAAGAATGATGCACCTACGGAAAAAATAGGAAAATCAAGACTTTATTTCTTGAACCCCAAGTACAAGTTTCTGATTTGCCTTTCTTCTTTGCTCTCTTTCTCCGTCTCGATCTCTCCAATATTCCTTTTGAGCTTCACCAATTTTCTCCCCTTCTCCCTCAATTTTTCCCCCAATTTTCGACCTCCCTTAGAAGCCAAAAGCCCCTCCTTTTTATAGACAAAAGTAAAACCCAATCCTAATGTGCTTCTAATACTCAAATCCCAATCCCTAAGATAACAACCCAATCCTATTTGGAA